AATTATGGCACTTGTGGCTTTTTCCTGTCACAATAGCAAGGGGCATCATTAATTTCCAAGCAACCGGTTTAGTGGTTTTCCAAAGACCTTTTGCACTGGGGTTTCCCTTTGAGGGCACTGTTTTCTTTCCCTCCCTTTAAAAACATAATGCTTTCAGCCAAATCCAGATCCCACTCTTCTGCTTGCCTTTTTTTTTTTTTTTTTTTTTTTTTTTTTTTTGCTGTTCCTTGGCTTTGATTTTCAGACCCTCATAAGCGTCTTTTTTCCAATAACAGCTAATATGGGCTCTCTTCATGGATGTCCCGAAAGGGATTAGACCTGCAGGGGTAGAAACATGAAGTGAGAATGGCAGAGATTAAAAATCTGAACTGGTGAGGTTAGCAGAAGAAGACACAGTGGCAAGGCATAGTCCCATATAAAGGCTTGTAAGCTTGGTGCTTCTCATAGCCCGGAGTAGTCAGACTGGAGGAGAAAGACAACGAACTGGGCTGAACTGGGATCAGCACACAGCTTTGGTGAGACTTCATACCTACCTATTCTAGAAAGCCACTTGAAAGAAATTTGGCCGAACTCAACATAGTCCTCATCTTGGGTCACACTGACACCACAGCAGGGAAAGAGACACCCATGATGAGCCTGGGGCTTCTGAAGAATAAAACTAAAATACCGGTCTTTACCATGTAAACCTGAATAAAGCTGGGTATTTCTAGGGATGAGGGAAATGAAATTCTCCAGACTGCATTGTTTAAGTGGTCTCCAGCATTCCTCTGGCCCTAAAACACATAGAAATGTACATATGCGTCTTTTAGCCAGAGAGACTTGACTTTTCAGAACCAGAAGGATGAGTATTTGTTCCTGGAGCTGTACTTTTTTGGTCTTTATGATGTGAAATTCCAGAAGAAAAGGAGAGCTCACAGTCTTCAAGGAGCAGTAAGGAGCAGCTGCTCCCTAAAGGAAAGCCAGCCAAGGTGACCCCAATACAGGCAGTGACCTCTCAATCAGGGCACAGTCCTACAGCACCTGAACCTGGCAGGCAGAAGCAATGGAAATACCTTAAACCCTACAAAACCCGAGAGGTAGATGCTGTACGTGCCACTAATAACTACTAATAACCCCCTCAATTTTTCCTGATGCCTTCTTGTGTATTGTGTGCATCTGGGAAATGCGGGGAAATAGAGCTGGGAATCAGAGAGCTCAGGTCAACCCCAGAGACACAGCAAACACTAGATGTGCCCATCATGAAATAGGATCTAATGAGGAAAAGGAGAGGGAAGGTGGAGGGGGATCCATTATTCATGAAGGCAATAGTAGTACAACAGTCTCCATAGACTGATGTGGCACTGGATAAGGTTACTACAGGGACACGGGTTGGTAATAGTATGCCAAACTGGATACAGAAAGCAGAGAGGTGTCCTTCCCTTCCCTTCCCTTCCCTTCCCTTCCCTTCCCTTCCCTTCCCTTCCCTTCCCTTCCCTTCCCTTCCCTTCCCTTCCCTTCCCTTCCCTTCCCTTCCCTTCCCTTCCCTTCCCTTCCCTTCCCTTCCCTTCCCTTCCCTTCCCTTCCCTTCCCTTCCCTTCCCTTCCCATCAGATAACACTCTGGGGTATATGACAGAAGAAATAAGCTCCCTTGGAAAGCTCTGCTCTTGGTCCTCTGGGGAAGATTTGGGAAATCATAAGCACACACAACATAGGAAAAGGGAGAAACAGCTCCCCAGAGAGGAGTGAGGCAGAAGATATCATCGTAGCAAAGAAGCAAAGGAAACATGAGCATGAATCAGACCTTAGAGATCAGCCTCAGAGCATGGGGTCCAAGAGCTTTGGTGCAGGCTTGATGGATGTACTGGAGCTGTGAATGTTGTCTGCTCCCCTTCTCTCTCTCACCACGGGTGATCCTGATTTTATCGGGCAATCTATCAGGGCTTGGCACTTGCTTTCAATTACAACACGTATTTGCTATGGCTTTGCCGCTTCTCACAGAACAATGATTTCTATCCCATCTCCTGGACTTGCTGCTTTCTCTCTTTCCTCCCCTTGCCACCTGTCTCCTGCTCGGAAGGCTGGTGGCTCGACATTTCTGACACCAGGATGCGTGAGCAGGCATCTGTGTCGTGCTGACCATGACACCACGGAGGAGACATCCCAGCCAGTGTCCTCAGGAATTAAACATCTCCTCTGGCCGGGCAGGAGCCTGAGCTCTGGCTTCGGAGCACTCAGCTCACAAGCACCCTTGGAGTGTGCCGGAGTGTTTGCAGCAGAGAGGGCAGCGGGTGGCTGGTGGGAAGGTGGAGGTTACAGGGAGAGGGAGCAGTTTCCAGAGAAAGGGCTGGAGTGTTTGCAGCTCTTGTTTCCCTTGGATGTGTCACCTGCAGTGGTTTCAAAACCCGTGCTACTTAAATTGTGTATGATTAGCTAGACTTAGCTCCTATTTCAGGTTGTGAATGGCAGCTATTATCTGCACTGCAGTGGATGCTAGAGCTCAATCAGGTCTGCGGGGCAGCTTCCTAGGCACTTGGTGGGGTAGATATAAGGCAGTCATTGAGTAGAACATATGATGAGCTATTTTGTCCAAGGGGTATGATGCTGCTAACCTGTTGGGCCTATTTGATGTGTAAGGGAGAGGAAATGGGGGAGAGGATTATCAATTAATGAACATAATCAGATGTTGAATGTAAATATGGGCTACAGACTATCATCCAGGGGAAAGATCCACCACTAACTACGATGCTTTTGTTCTGCCTTCAACAGAATCAGACCTGAAAACCTGGGGCTGGTAGAAAATGAAATATTTCCTACCTCAGGCAGCTTGTGTAAGGCAGAAATGTGTGCAGGCACGCAAAGATGATCTCCCAACTTAACAGGTGAGGAGGCAGCAACAGATGCAAGCTTGTGCTAGCAAGGTGGTGGCCTCGGGACTCTAACACATCCCTAGAGGATGCTTGAATGTGGTAAATAAATGATTTTACAGTGCAGGCTGTACCCTCATGCTTGGTGTGACTGGCTACTCACTCCACACTGCACACCAAAAGAACAGCCCCTGGCTTTGTGGAAGACGCATTTGAAAAGAAGAAACAGAGATGGTCCCAGAGAACTGCATGTTTCTCCTGCAGCCTTGCCCTCAAACTCAGAGCTGGACACCAGCTCAGATGCCAACACACGGGCCTGGGTACCAGTAGCTGTCCTTGTCACAAGCTCACTCTGGCTGTCATCTCAGCCTCCTGCAATTCTAGCCATGCTGTCTGTTCACAATACAATGGGACCACTCCTGTCTGACGATACCTGGAGCAAGTTCCACAGTAGTTTCACCTGCTTGGTAGATGCTCTGCTTATTCCCCAAACTCCTTAGAGTGGTTACAAGCTGCAAACCTGCCCCTCAGCTCTTACACAGCTGAGGAAGACTCTGCAGGATCAGATCCTGCTGGTGCTGCAGGGGTGCTGATGCCCAATCTGTGCATGCCATTGTCAGGCTGTTCCTGGAGGGGTGCATGGCTTGAGCACACTTCTTGGATCATGTCCCAACTACACCATCCAGGCTGCCAAGCACTGCAGCCAGAAACACTTACCTCTCACCTGGAATAGGCTGCGTGATATATTTAGAAACCCACTTTTTTCATTGTTTTTAATTACATTCAGCTTTTCTGATAGTCCTGCTGGTGGTCGGCCACACAGTTTTTAGAAAATGCCACCCAGCAGTGTGTGGGCCCTGTGTCTGCCTGTGAGCCAGGTCCCATCTGGCTGTAATTACTAGCTTCACATCAGCAGAAGAATGTAATATTTAAACACAAATGTTCGATGTTTGCATAGAAAACCTTGGGATAGAAAGCTCTTGATGATCAGCCTGCGGGAGAGGAGGTGGGGCTGCTGCAGGTGAGCCTTGAGGTGTATTGGTAGAGTTATAACAAGACTTTGTGGGGCACATAGAATCATTGAATCATAAAATATCCTGAGTTGAAAGTGACCCATAAGGATCATCAAGTCCAACTCCTGGCCCCACACAGGTTTACCCAAAAATTCAGACTAAGAGCACAGTCCAAATGCTTCTTAAACTCTGACAGGCTTGGTGCAGTGACTATGTCCTTGGGGAGCCTGTTCGAGTGTGCGACCACCCTCTCGGTGAAGAACCTCTTCCTGATATCCAGCTGAACCTCCCCTTGTCACAGCTTGACACCATTCCCTCGAGTCCTATCACTGGTCACTTAACAGAAGAGATCGGCGCCTGCCCCTCCACTCCCCCTCATGAGGAAGCTGTAGGACACGATGAGGTCCCCCTCAGCCTCCCCTTTTCCATGCTGAACAGGCCCAGTGCCCTCAGCCACTCCTCATATGTCTTCTCCTCTAACAGACCCAACACAGGGATGGAGAAGAAGAACCCTAGAGACATGATTCAGTGAGGCGTTGCAAGGAAGAAAAGAAGTTTTAGGAAACTGGTGTGGACAAGGTCTGTTTGCTCTGAGTGGTCTCTTCTTCCATCCTTCTAGTGACTTGAGCTCCACTAAGCAGAGAGACCTGTGCCAAAGATGTGGTCTGACAAAATGCCTTAGTTCAAATGCTTAACTCCACTGGCTGAAAAAAAGGTCAGAGGGTGGGAAAGAGCAAACCAGAGAGAAATGGAACCTACTCATCCAAAGCAATCCTGTCTCCTCCAATTCAGTAGGTGCGAGGTGATCATCCCGATTCTTAAGCTGCTAGAAGAGCTACTGAAATCATCACAGGCTTCTTGCCCAGAGCAGTAGCCATCAGGACAATCATAACATCATAACATCTGGGGGACCTTGGCTGCTCAGTCCCCAGAGAAAAGTGCAGGCTTTGACATGTTTCTTGAGTACCCAAGCTCAAAGAAATACAGAAGATGTATTACAATGGCCCCTAAAATGTAATGTTGAGAGTACAGTGGGTGTTAGCTACTACAGGGCAGACCTTGCATCCCCCAGAGAAAGTGGCTGACGGTGAGCCCCATCTCATCCAAGGGATCTTCCTCCACTTGCAGGGATCAGTCTGATCACTCTTGTGTATGAGATTTTGCCTCACTGCCTGATGATCCTTTGGAGAAGGATCCACTGATGATCCTTTGGAGAAGGTAAAAAATGAGGCACTGGGCTGCCAAATAAGAAAACATCTTCATCCATTCCCAGGCACCTCTGGGAGGTCACAGAGATATGCGTGCTGTCTGCAGCATCCTCCTTTTCACATTAAGGTCCAAGGACTATGTGGCACACCCAGCTGAATGACAGCCCTGAAGCTGCTGCTGGTCTGTGTTACACCTCTTGTAGGGTCAATGGAACCGGAACCCTGCATCATTTGCTTTCCCCGTGGGTTTTTCCCCATTATCTCCCCCTTATTTATTTATTTATTTTTTACACACCTTTAGATGGCTTTCATTCATGATGCCACCATGTGGCTGGTGGCTGTTTCTTCTTGGGCTTTTCCTTGTCGTTTTATACCAGCAGGAGGTTAGCGCAGATGCAGGCTCCCAAATGCCTCCTCGCTGTCTCAGGGGGGTTCAGGGCTTTTTTTCTGCAGCTTGTGCACCCAAGGCAAGCAGCCTTACTGTCGTCATTGCCTCTGAGAAGCATTGCTCATCTCGGCAAACTTTAAAGCCGCATCCTGACAGACCAAAATAAATCAATCAATAAATAAATCGTCCGTCTCGTCTACTGGATTCTGCAGTTTATTTCCTCGGTGCTGATGAAAAATAGTTGGATGCTTAGTAGCTTCATGAGACTAATTATGATAAACGGTCCCATCGCTGCTAATATCCGGCCATTAATTCCCAGATGGAGCTGCAGAAAATGTCAGGAATGGAAATGTCAGCTCTCTAAAAGGACCTGGCAGGTATTGAAGTGGGGACTGGAGCGTCAGCAGAGGAGGCAGCAGAGGGAGAGACAGGAATTAGCCGGATGATGATACACATTCAGAAGTTTTACTTTTTCTAACGTGATCACCCAGTTTCTCCTAGTTATATCTCTTGCGAGCAGTGCCATGACCATGTCTTCCTTCAAATTTTTGAGCTCTGTTCCCTTCATTGAGGCAAAAGACTTGGTGCCTACTAAGTGGATGGCACTTCCTTTGAGGGGAGGGAGCTCAACCTTAAGCTTCAGGAGTCTCTTTCCCATAGAGCTCCCAGAAACGTCACTTCTTGTAATGCTGGCACGAGTGACCAGCAGCAGCACTGACCTGAGCGCCCCATGGCACCTGGTTCTGATAACAGTGGCAGGTTGCTTTGGCCATCACGTGAGGGTGACGTGCAACTTGCCAAGGCCTCTGATACTGAGCCCAGTGGGACACACTTCCAGATGTCAGACACTGCAGTGTCGACTCTTTTGTCTACTTCTTTCTCCTCCCAAGGCGGCAGTGGCTGTTGCTGGACTCAGACATCACCCAGACATGGCTTCTCTGCATGCTGCCCTACAGGACAGGCACACCAGTAACACCCATTATACCCAGTGCAGGCCAGGGAGGCTACTTGCAACAAACGGTCAAGCTCATCTTCCATTTTTCTGTCAGTTTCATGTTTGCATTCACATTCATATTTATGTTATTGCAATAATCACAGTTGCATACGAAAACAAACAAACAAAACAAAACAAACAAACAAAAACAGAAAACAGCAAAAACACTTTTTTTTTTTTTTTTTGCTTTCTACCAATAGTTTTCCTCCTGTGTTAGACACAGCTCTTTACATTCTCTACTAAGCAGGAAGGCACTTCAAGAATAGATGCACCAGCCACGCGGATGATGTGAAAGCCCAGATATTGATGATGCTGTTACTAACGGCAAGAAGTCAGGCTGACACTTCAGTGCAATAAATCAGCCAACAAACAAATGTCAGGAAGATAAGTTTTGAAGTCATTCTAAATCCCAAAATGTTGGGTTGTCCTCTCGTGTGGAAAGCCACCACTCTGACACATTGGCATGCTCAAGCCTCTGTTTCTGTTTGTGTTAGACTTATTCTAAGACCTGGTACAAAGAAATACATCTATTTTAATAGAGCCTATCTATTTTATTCAGTCTATTGGCTCAGGCCTTGCTTTTTACAGCTTTTGCAATATTATTGTTCAGATGAGGAGCTATTCCAGCTTTTGGCACATGCTTTCAAGTGGAAAAAATCCAAGCAGGTCGGGGATTCCTTGATAAAATGCCAGTTGGTTGAAATAAAGTTTTTGTTTGTTTTGTTTTTGTAGAAATTCATTAGTTTGAGCAATGCTGTTTGTCAGCAGAGGATGGAATTTTCACCCCAAACCAAATGATTTGGACACTTACCTGTTGGGTAACATTGAGCCTGATCAGTCTGGGCCAGAACACAGCATTGAAGGGAGGTTCCCCACACCTTGCACTGAGCACTCAAACCACAGCCCTCCTGGTAGGGAGCCAAGATGCCTCTGCTTCTCTCATGAAAATCTTGATGTTCCTCAGGAGGCTTCAGGGAAAAATGATCTTCAGGTCATTTCCCCCGGTCATATTTTTTTTTAAAAAAGGTATTCCCCTGACCCCCCTGAATGCACAAAGTTAATAGGCTGAGGACCTCGGTCCCTGTATGTCGTCTGGGAAAGCCGGAGTTGTAAGACTGCTAGTATCTCTTCAGAAGTGGCTTGCAATTCTTTTGGGATGGTTTTCACTGGAGGCGGGTGATACATTTCCTAGAAGAGAGCAGTTCTATCTATAGTTTCCTGAGTGTTGTGTTTTGCATGCTTGAAGGTTGTTTGTATTTCTGAGATTTCTGCAGAGTGCCAGGAGATGTCACCTCTCAGGCTACATTCCCAGCACAGACTGGCCATATTGGCTTCCTCGTGAGGCAGAACCTGCTACTCTTACCTTGGATGACTCGTGTCCCAGCTGCCAGCAGCCTCCTCTCCTCAGCAAGAGCTGCTGACACCTGCTTTGCTGCTCCTAGGGGCCAGGAGTTAGGCTAAGGGCTTGATTTTGATGCTTTCTCCAAGGAAGATGGAGAAGTACCAGGACCATGTCTGCTGGGGTGGGGAGCTCTGGTGTCCATGGGATGCTCCCATGAACATCCTGACAGATCAAGTATCTGCCAAGGTATCCCCTCAGGCTGCATGAAACCTGGCTGCCCATCTGGCTGGGGTTTCTGACTTATTAAGGGTCCAGCTGCAGGGGATTTGGGAGCCAGCAGGTGGAATCCTCAGGAAAATCTCTGAAATCAAGATCCCAATAAAAGTAGGTTCTACCTAGAAATATCTCCCAGCTCTCTGGTGGCTGACAGGATTTTTCTATTTGTGGCCATATAGAGAAGATGGCAGCATTGTATTAGAGATAGTTCTGGCCAGTTCAGCCAAGAGAAACCAATTGCACGCTTTGCTGACCATCTCTGCTGAGAGCTCATCATCTGAGGCTTGCTGAGCTCTGTCACCACCACTCCCTCCTGCTCAGGTGTGGCCCTGGCAACCCTCACTACCGAATTCCTATTTCTGGTCAGCCCCATGCTTTCTGTGCACTTTCCATGGAGAAGCAACCAACACCTGCAAAATTCTCTCTGAAGCCTTCTGAATGGGCTGGCGGTGGTATCCTGACTGAGAGAATGTGCCCTGGGGAGACACTTTGCTGCAGCATGGTGGTGGAGACAAGGGAGAAAAGTAACCAACACAAATATTCAAGTCTCATTGTTTGAGATTAAGGGGGAAATTAGAGTTTGAAAGCACAGAATTCACAGCTGGCTGGTATGAACTGCTACGGCAGTCCCAGCCTTTGTGAATTCAAGGTAACCATCTGCCCTGCGTTGAGAAAGCTGTGACAAGTAGTAGGAATATAAAGGTGAATCTGTCTTGATGTTGCTTTCCCAGAAACAAATTACATTTTCAGGAGAAGGGCATCAGGCAACATGAAGCCAGACCTCATCCTGTCTCTCCCTGCTTTGTGACTTCCTTGTGGGTTTGCATTTTTGGGGGTTGATCTAAGTAGATTCTGTCAAATGTACCGTTAGCGTTGTCAACATGTGGTGTTTTACTCTAGATTAATGCTGTCTCTTGTGTGTGGGAGCACACGTAGGTGTGGAGACAGAGAAATCTAGGGCCTTATTCTCCAGTGGCCTTGTGTTTAGAGGATCATTTACACCTTCAGCAAAATGAGTGTGGGGTGGGTATGGAAACACTGCTAAATCTGAAGGTGCTCGCCACCCACGCTGGAGAGGTGCAAGTGATGAAACAACTCGCGCATCATCTCTGAGGTCCACAGAAGTTGGGCATGTTGGTATTTTATTATTCCTCCTATAACTAGAGGAAGGCCATTCCCTGTAAGAGTGTATTTGTATGTAATACTCTGCCCTGGTGTTTTCCGAGCTGGTTTGGGGGTAGATGCTTCAGAGCTAAAAGAGGTGAAAGTTGAGGGGAGGAAAAGTGCCTACAACAGCTCTTGGACAATGCAAAGCAGAGGAGCCAGGCTTTTCAGGCAAAGCAGAGAAACAAGGTCTTGTAAACAAAGCCTCACTGATCAAGCTAGTCCAGTAGAAACTCAGGAACCTGTCCTTGGAGAACCATTTTCTTGGGAGCTCATCACCACCTGTAACTACTGGCAGACCTGTGGTCTGGAAAGGCAGAAAAAGAACAGGAAGAACTGTCGGAAGGAAGACAGAGCTAAATGTTTTGTGTCAGCCCAGCTGGGGAGAACATCTAAGCTCAGGCTGAGACAAGGAGAAACCACAAAGACATTCAGCAACACTGCAGCTGGCTGTGCCAAATGCCAGCCACTACCACTTTGGATCTGCTGGTGGAAATGGGACATGGTATTGGCACACCCTGCTGCACCCATCAAATGGGTGAAACATGGGATGGTTGAAATGAAACAACCATCACTCAGGACATTGATAGGGAGCACGATCAACTGCACACCCGTTTAGTTTCTGTTCTGGCTTAGTAGGTTTTTGAAGGCCCAACCAATTGAAAGAATTGAAACTGTTTGGTTTTCATCTCCTGGCTTGCTGAAGCATTTTGTATCAAACTTTGAAAGCCTGGTCAAAAATGAAGCAGAGCTAACCAGAGGGACAGGAAGACCTGCTGTGAATTCAAACCCACTGCAAGGGGCACAAAGCTGGTGTGAAAATTTTGGTATTTTCCCATGCGAAGTGCAATGGAGCTTCATCTCTGTATCCTCTGGGCCAAGAGGCACAATCTGTGATACCACCCCTGGGATCTCCAGGAAGAACCATAATTACATTAAACTTAATCAAGGCAAGCCAGCATGTGCTCCTTTCTTAAATTAAGCAACGAGGCCATCAGTGTAATCGAGAACCTACTCCTGGGGGTTTCTTAAGCAAATTCGGGGATGACAGAAGCGCTTCCCTCCTAAACTCCAAGACCTGGCAGGGTGAGGACATGGTGCTCATTGCCTGGGCTCTGCTGCCTCCTGGTGGCACAGCCCCTTGCCCCGCTGCCATACAGCCTGGACACGGGCCTGATCCTCTGTCCCCCTGGACAGGACACAAAGCATCTCCAGAGCTACCCAGGAAGCCATGCAGAGCTATCCCCACCTGGCCATGCTTTTGAGTACTTAGCCCCAAAGCAGTTGTCCATCCAAAGCTGTTCATCTCCCTGGGGCTGCATGAGGATGCGAGCAGGGTGAGCTCCTTCCTCCTGCAGCCCCTCGTTTTGCCGGGTGTCTGCCCAGCTGGTGGTCATTATGTTCTCCAGGGGCACATCCCATAGGGTTAGTCAGCCCTCCCAGGTGGCATGACCCAGAAGATGTGATGGCTTAGGATGTTCATGGGTACATAAACTCAAATGTAAATAACCCCAGAGACTGGCAGCCCTGGGAGGCAGAGGTTGGTGATAGCTTGTTGGTGGTGGTGGCCTCTGCTAGTGGTTCGGTGGTGGTTCTATGGCAATGGTGGCTCTGTGGTGACCCTATGGTGGCAGTGGCAGCTCTGTTGTGGCAGTGGTGTCTCTGTGGCCGTGAAGGTGGCCCTGTAATGGTGGTGCCTTTGTGGCAGCTCTGCGATGCCAACGGTGACTTGAAGTCAGTGATTGCTCCCCTTTGGCGGTAGTGGCACCTCTGTAGTGGCTTTTTGGTGGCAGTGGCTCTTGGGTGGCAGCAGGGACTCGGAGGTGACTCTGTGGTAGCCCTATGGTGATGGCGGGTGCTCTGTGGGGGCACCTCTGAGGTGACCTTATGGCAGCAAGCAGCGGCCGTGTGGCACTGACTGGGGGGGCCTCTGCGGTGCCACCTCGAGCCCCCAGGTCCCCCGTGGTGGCAGAGGAGGCCCTGCGGTGCCATGGGCAACCCGGCCAGGCCTGGGGCAGCCGGGCCGTTGGCAGCAGCGGCCGCACGGGGCCGCCACACGGACGAGCCCGAGCGCCCGCGGCGGATTCCGCCCCCCCCGGGCAGGCACCGTTGGTGCTCGGCCCCTCCGTTGAGGACGAGACCGACCACCGGGAGAGCCCCCAGGCCGGGTTAAGGAGCGGGTAGGGCAGCGGAGGGGGCACTGGGTGAGACATGGAGCGGGGCGGTGGAGGCGGCCCCCGGGCGGTTTCCAAGGCGCCGCGGACGCCGCCCGGGTGCTCGGCGCTCCCTCAGCTCCCTTCTTTACAGCACAAGGAGGGCTGGAGCAGGGGGTGGTGGTTAAAGGGGTTTGTTGAGAGCTCGTCGGCTCGCCCGAGCTCAGGGTAAGGGGCTTAAATTAGGGTAAAAAAAGAGTTTCTGCGCGGTGATGGTGTCTGATGTGGGGTTCTGGCTATCAAGACTATCAAGAGATAAATAGATTTCAGATTGATGGCTGTTCGGTTTTGATCTGTGGCTTTGCTTAGGAGGTAGCTTATTTTTAAGTACTCTTCTGTTGCAATTTTTAAGGCCGATTTGAATGTTATTAGAAAGAAAAGAGGCTTGCTTAGAGCATTTTGTTGAAGCTTGGCATCAAAAAATAGAAGTAGAGACAACAGATCAAAAGTTGTTGCCAGACATTGAGAAAGACACGCGGGAGTTTCTCTTCTCAGATCCATAAAGCCTGGATTTACTGAGAAATTGTAATTATAGTTTTGCCACGATGACACACAGACGCTGTAGCTGATGTTGTGTCAGCAGTGCCATTAGGATATGCTCTCATTTTGAGTAGCTCAATTTAGCCTAACGCAGCGCACCTGGTATATCTAGGAAATGCTCTTCAGGTGTGGGAGACCCTGGCTGAGCAGCTGGGGGAAATGTGTGTTTTGGCAGGAGAAAGATTTTCAAAGCTTCTTGTGGCTAAAGCTGTGGGGACGTGAGGCCAGGTGGGGGTTTGCTGTTGCAGGGAGGTGCTCCTGGATGCTGGGGGTGAGGGGGTTTTGGTGTCTGTGGAGGACCTGCTCTCAAGCAGAAGCCTTCAAGCTCCCCGCATCTCATCGCTTTGCAATGAGCTGGCTTGCTCAGCTTTGAATCTCGCTTGTCAGCGGGCAGCTCTGGCCCTTGTGGGCTGAGGAAAGTGCTCCACGTGGGAAGGCAGAGAGAGCTGCAGAGGTAGCAGGCGGCTGGAGTGTGATACCAACAGGGCTTGAGCCAGGTTTGCTGCTTTTCTCCAGCGTCTCTCGGACAACAAAGAAATCTTCAAGTGCTGGCTGTTTCACACTGCCTGAGGTTGCTGTAGCAGATCTGGCTGAAATCTCAGGCGGCTGAGAGGCTTGGCAATCCACACCAAGTCCTCCTGCCCACAGGTGGGAGGCCAGGGTCACCACAGGATGGAGATTTGTGAGGACATCCCTGGAGCCTGGGTGCTGTTCTTCTTTCTGGAGGCTGGGGAAGAGCACGTTGCTCCACAGTAAACCCCTTGGCACAGTATCTAGGTTGAGCAAAAGAGAGGGGGTCTCTTTTTCTCAAACCAGTGTGGAGCCCGTTTCTGGGAGCTGGGTGGGAGCACCAAGCCATGTGCTGGAAAACCTCCTTGATGGTGGTGGGCTGGCTGGAAGGCAGCATTCCCTTTGTGTTCAGCAGTTCTCCATCTCTCAGTCAGCTGTAGCATGCTCAGACAAGCTGTTTCACTCATCTGGCTGACAATAAAACACTGGAGGCCTGGTTTTGTTCTTTAGTTTGGGTGGTACGTGTCAGTTTTGTGTCGGCAGTTACCAACACCAGACCCTCT